TTTTGATTTAGCTTTCTTTTTAAATGGTAATGGTAAAAGCTATCTAGTATACTCTTTCCATCCTAGCTCACCAATCCTGGACTCCATCCCTCAATCTACTTTTGCTCCTATTCTGGCCTCCCGCTCAGCTCTCCCTCTCCACCTCTCCATGTGTGGAGGGACTAAAGTGAAAACAGACTAGCCAGGATAATTTTTCCAAGGGTGAGCTCAACTTTGGATTTTTACTTTAAAGTAGAATATGAAAATTTCCTTTAGGACAATTTCCTGTTTTGAATCGCAGTCAATTAGTAACATTCTGCCAGTAATAACTGAAGGAATAAAGTCTAGGTGGAAAAAGAGAGGAAAAGAGAGAGCTCATTCTTGATTTACCATTTTAAACTTCAACAAAAAGTGAATAATTTACATTTATGTCCTTAATATTAATTCAGCAAACATTTATTCTGTGCCTACTATGTGGTAGGTGCTGAATTACATGATTTCACATATCTAGGTCTTTTCTTTCTCACAACAACTCTATGAATTAGAATTGTCACCTTACTTTATAAGTTAGGAAACTAAGGCACAGGGAGCTCAAGTGCCCTGGCTTAGGTCACATTGCTTGTAAGATTTTAAATAGATTCTTTGGCCACCGGTTTAGTTCAGTTCAATCACTCAGTCATTTCTGACTCTGCGACACCATGGACTGCAACACGCCAGGCTTCCCTGTCCATCACCAACTCCTGGAGCTTGCTCAAACTCATGTCCATTGAGTCGGTGATGCCATCCAACCGTCTTATCCTCTGTTGACCCCTTCTCCTCCTGAGCTAGTGCTTTTCCCACCAGCTTCACAGCTGACTCTCCACTTGGACTTGTTGTGGAGACTGCTGTGAGCAATCAAAATATTATCAAAGCTATGCACTCTTGTCCATCAGATGACAGCATTTCATTGGTCTAATTTTACCAGCCTGTTTAGTGACATAGAATAAGTTGGTTCAGTATAGACAAAGGGTGGTGTTTGGGGATTTTTGCCCAATCAGGTTTAAACATACTTTAGAAAATATCTCCTTCAAAAGCCAGAGTTTTACTTAATGGGGAAACCCTGGAAGCATTCCCACTAATGTCAGGAGGAAAAAAAAGGATGCCCACTTTGGGCACTATTATTTAATGTTTCATTGGATGTTTGGCCATCCAAATAGACAAAAGAAAGAAATTAGTGTTATGTGAATTAGAAATGAAGAGAGAAGATGATTTCTATTCACAAATAATATAATTGTCTTAAACCCAATAATCCAAGAATCAAATGTACTACAAACATTTAAGAGAGTTCAGTATGCTAGCAAGATAAAGAGTTAATATATAAAAATACCTTCATATATACAAAAGGCATTAAAATATACAATGGAAGAGAAAATCTCCATTTTAAAAAAAATCTCCATTTTTAAAAATGCAACCAAAAAGTTTAAATACCTAGAAGTGAATATATAAGAAATACACAAAGCCTATATGAGAAATACTCACTTTGATGTTCATTACTTAAACCCATTAATCAATCTTAGTATCACTAGAAGCAATCATCATATGTCTCCTGATGTGATGTAATATAAGCATGCAGCATCGACTATGATGAATTCTTAGCAAAAAAGTAGAATGTGGATCCTATCAAGCATTTATAGCTCTGTTTCATTTATAAGAAATATGAGGAGTGCAATAACAAACTAGGTGGCAGCCCGATGAAGCGAGCAGACAAATAGAGAACGTGGGACATTTCATAGGACAACTGACCAAGTTTCTTCAATGAATCTAAGGCAAAAAACAGAGGAAGGACATTGTTTTTGAGTAAAAGAGAATTAATAGATATAACAACCAAATGCAATATGTGTAACTTGTTTGGATGCTGATTCAAACCAACTAACTGTAAAAAAAAAAAATTTCTGAAACAATGGGGAAAATTGAGTATGGACTGGGTATTATGTGATAATAAGACTGTGTTTGATAATTTTGTTAGTTGTGGTGATAGCCTTTGGGTTATATAAGAAATTTTTCATATTTTAAGTGATAAATACCAGACATTAAGGGAGTGGAATGATATGATATTTGCTCTAAAATAGTTCAAGAAAGAAAGAGGCAAGGGGGGAGAGAGAGAGACTGCAAAATCTTAATAGTATTTGTATCAATTTGCTGATAAATGTGTATCAATTTTGCCATAACAAAATACCATACTATGTGGTGTAAACAGAAATTTCTCACCATTCTGGAGGCTAAAAACCCAGGATCAAGGCGTTGGCAGGTTTGGCTTCTTCTGAGGCCTCTATCCTCAGCTGCAGGTGGCTGTCCTCTCGCTGTGTCCTCGCCTGATTTTTCCCGTGTGTGTGTGTGTGTGTGTGTGTGTGTGTGTGTGTGTATCCCTGGTCTCTCTCTTGTATACAAAAATTTTCTTTTCATATAAGACCAGTCAGATTGGATTAGAGCCCATCCTAAAGGCCTCATTTGAACTTTCTTCTTTAAAGGCCCTATCCCCAAATACAGCCTCATTCTGAGGTACTAAGGGTTAGGACTTCAATGTATGAGTTTGGGGGATGAAACACTCCTCTCATAACAGTTATTAATCTGGATGATAAATGTATGGGAGTTTATTGTACTAAACTCTTTGGTTTTATGTATATTTTAAAATTTATATTAAATACAACATTCTAGAAAAGAAGGGCATAAAAGTAGACCTGAACAAATAGACATACACACCCCATGGATAAGAAGACTCACCATCAGAAAGAAATAAGTTTTCCACAAATAAGTAACTTTAACACATCTCTATAAATTAACCTGATTCTTTTCCTGAAACTGAACAAGCTTATATAGAAAAATAAGTAAGCAAGAATAGCAGGGAAAACTCTGTAAATATAGAGCAATATGGTGTAGAGCAGCCTTGTTGGATATTAAAACATAGTCTAGAGCCTCAAAAATTAAAATGATGTGAAATTAGTACATGGAAGTAAACAAAAATCCAGAAACAGACCCAAATGTATATAGCAAATTATTAATATATGATAAAGATATCTTCTCAAATCAAGGAGGGTAAAAATGAAATGTCTAATCAATAACATTAGGACAACTGAGTAGCTATTTGCAAAATGATTAAATATGATCCATACTTCATACATATATCAAGATAAAATCTAAATAGATCAAAGATTTAAGTTTAAAAAATGAAACTATTAAAATACTAACAGTAAACCTTGAAGTGAATCAGGCCTTTCTAATTATGACAAATCCAGAGGCCATTTAGAAACTGATTCACATATTTCACTTAACAAAAATTAAAAAAAATTTCTCATAGTAAACAACAGCACACATGTACCCCATAAGCAAAGATAAAGGATAAGTAGGGAAAATATTTGTAATTCATATCACAAAGGGCAAATTTGGATCCTAGAGATTGAGGAAAAGGGATGAGAACCAATATTTTCCTCAAAAAGTTTGTGGAACTACGTGGAAAGTTAGTTTATATAAAATAAGAATACCAAATGACCCTGAAACCTCTGAAAAGTTGCTCAGCTTTTCTCATAATACGAAAAATTCAAATTGAGAACTACAGTGAGATTCTTTTTCTCGCTTATCAACCTGGCATAAATAAAAAAGTCTGATACCACATTCTATTGGTGAGCCTGGGGAAAATAGAAACTCTCATACATTGTCGGTGGGACTGCAAATTGATACAACCCTTGAATTAAGTTGGTAGTTCTGCCATAACAAAGTACTAGACACTGGGTGGCTTATAAGAACAGAAATTTATTTGAATTAATTTTTCTCACAATTCTGGAGGCTACACATCTGAGATCAAAGTGCTACAGGGGTTGGTTCCTTCTGAGACCTCTCTCCTAGTCTTGCAAGTGGCCATCTTCTCTTCCCTGTGTCTTCACGTGATCTTCTCTCGGTATGCATCTGTGTCCTAATGCCCTCTACTTCCAAGGACACTAGTCATATTGGATTAGAGCCACTCTAATGCCCTCATTTCAACTTAATCACCTTTTTATAAACCCTATCTGCAAATACAGTCACATTCTGAGTAACCGGGGGTTAGGACTTAAACACTTGAATTTTGGGGGACACAAATCAAATCATAACAACCCATATGGAAAGAAACAGAAGTAGCTATAAAGATTACCAATACATTACCTTTGTCCAGCAATTCCACTTCTGGAAATTTACCCTACAGATACAAATGACATAAAGTGGCATGCATATGAGATTATTCATTTCAAACTTGTTTATTTATAATAGCAAAACGTTTGAAATGACCCATGTCATTAGGTGACTTGAGTAAACTATGTTTCACCTATTGTGCAAAATCATACAGCTGTAAAAAAAAAATCAGGAAGCTCTCCAAGCACAGCTAAGGAGAAATCAACAATGATATATGAAGTAAGAAAAGGCAGGCACAAAACAATAGCATGCTACTTACATATGAGAAATACATTTGTATTTACTTAGACAGTATTTGCATAAAGAAACACTGAAGGCAAAATGAAAACAAGAAAAACTAATAAAATTGGTCACTGATAGGGACATTAAGGGTGCACAGAATAGAAGGGACAGAAGTGGAAGTGAGTTTTTCCATATATTCTTTTTACATAGTTTCCATTTCTAAATCACATAAATTCAAAAGTTACAATTGTTATGTATAAAGTTTTCTAGTTCAGCCATGAAATTTCTAGTACAATGTGAGACTAACTCTAATTAATCTTTCCACTTTTTTTTTTATCTTTCCACTTTTAAGAATCCCTACTTTCAGTTTATGGAAGCTACATCTAGGGTTTTCAAATCGTGCTCTTGTGAAATAAAGAAAATCTCCAGGGGTTGCAAAGGCTTTCTTTTTATTTTTCTTTGAAGAAAGGAAGCGAGTTTAAGAGGGCTAGAGCAAGTCCAGTTGGATTTGACGTTGAGCAAAGAGGAGATCGTCCAGATGCTATCGATCACCAGCACGCAGCAGCACACACGCCCTGTGGTGTGCATCACTTCAAGCAAACAGAAGTGTGCCCTGCTGAGAGTGGGGGTGCCTGGGTGGGGGTGGGGGGACCCGAGCGCACTGCCTCCAGCTGAGAGTGAAATTCCTTGAGAAAGCCCCCTTCCTGTCACAGCACCCACAGCACTCTGAGCCTGCTCGCAGCCCAACGGCCTCTCCGAGAATGCTACATTTAAAAGTGCAGTTTTTGGATGATTCCCAGAAGATTTTTGTGGTTGATGTAAGTGGAAATCACATTGCTATTATTCCTTTATTATTCATTCAATAATGGTCATTTGTGGACAGCCCATTAGCTGGCAATATTATGTCTTCTTTAGGACCGAATGAAGGAGGACTGTGGTTTTTAGCTTTGGAAAAAAGAAATCTGTTTTTAATATCACAATGTAGCTCATGCTTTCCCATTAACTTTTCTTCTAGAACAGGTTCTCTTTTCTCAAGGGATAACAAAAGCAAGTCTTAAAGATATGTTAAATATTTGTAAAAAAATAAATAAATAAAGCAGTAATAACTTAGTTGTCCTACCCCAAAAGGTGTTATTGCTCATTGAAATAATTTGTCTGTGAGTCTCACCCTGTGAATATTTGTGGGGAGAAAGCTGTGGTTCTGAGGGAAAGGAGAAGGGGAAAGCTACCCTCCTTTTCTGAAGAAAACCTGTGGGGTTTCAGGGGGTGGGGGGTGGTGGGTAGAATTATGCAGTCGTAATGAGAACTTCAGGAAGTAATGACAAGTATAAAAGAGAAAAATAGGATAAGAGACTATTTAGTTTGATTTAGTACTTATAGTTCAGGGTTCTTCATATAATTCCTAGCTACATGATGATTGCGTACAATTATACCTCATCTCTTCAAGAAAGAACAAATGTATTAAGCACATCATTTGGGGCTCATCTTCCAGTATCTTAAGAGATGTACATTTTGGTGTCAGAATTTATGTATGAGCATTTGGAAATGTTCTACAATTTTATTGGAATCAAAGCCGCTATTTGCTCTGATATTTACATTAGCTACTAACAAGGAACAAATAGTTCACTTTCTTTGAAATTCCTACAAAATGTTGGCTGTTTTCTTTTATATATTACGTGACAACTGCTGTTGGGTGTGGGGGTAACCCATTTTTCAAATAAGTATTTCATTTTTATTTGAATCATGTGCTTTGTGGGTGATGGTTGCATGGTTTCAGCTGCTGTTTGGCTGTCTCTTCCTTTCACTTTTATTTGCAAAAGGCATTTCTAGGTCCATGGACCTGAATGATTTGTTTTTGTAGCAAATAGCTTCCATTAGAGGTATGAGGCATTTCCTATTCTTTCTTGGAACCATATTTAAGGGGTGGAAAATGTCTTTTGAGTAGTTTATCCATTTGCAGGCTGGTGGTGTATGCTTGCAGTGCTCTGGTACCTGAATTAGGGAGCTGGGGATTCAAAAGACACTGCTTTAGGCTAAGTTTTTAATAATAGATACTTCAAGCAACTCAAAGAGAAATCTTTGACAAAAAGTGACAGAAGGCCTTTCTGAATGTACAGTTCAAATGCAGATCCAGTTAAATGGGGGTGAGGGGTGGGAGGCACAGTACTATAGTGTCACAAAATTCACCTTCCGAGGAGCTGGTTCTAGCAACTTGAAGCCAGCATGATTTGGCTTGAAGTCAGACTGTCTCTTTCCAGCTGCAACACATTGTGCTCCTTGGGAAGATAATGGCAGAGATTTGATACCCGGCAATTCGGGTGTCACAACATCTGATCCTGTTCGCTCTGTGGCGGGCTCCTCTGTAAGTAGCAATCGTGGCGTTACCGAGAGTGGCAGTAGCACTGACGGCAGTCCCTCGGGCAGCTTTGTCTTGAGGGAAATGGAGCCTTCAGTCAGCTTCCAGCCATCCAACAGGATCTCTCTCCTTAACAATAGTAGACTGACAATGAAAATGATGATGATGATGGTAGCAGTAGTAGTGGGTCCTCAATGAATGCCACTTTAAAATTTAAAAAGCAATTTCACCTCCATTAGTTCATTTGATCTTCCATTCCACCCTGTGAGTGAAAGTAGGCAAAAGATGAATCTTTTCCAATTTTGCAAATTAAGAGAAAGGGGCTCAGGGAGCTCAAGTGACGCGGGCAGGATTACATAGCATAGAAATGCAGAGCCGGGGCTTCAATCCAGGGCTCTTCCTATGAGCCCACGTACAACTGGATCTGAAGACTCATCTGTCAGTAGCTCTCTGTTGTTGTTGTTTGGTCACTCAGCCATGTCTGACTCTTTGCGACCCCACGGACTGCATCCCACTAGGCTCCTCTGTCCATAGGATTTCCTGGGCAAGAATCCTGGAGCAGGTTGCCATTTCCTACTCCAGGGGATCTTTCTGACCCAGGGATCGAATCTGCATCTCCTGTGGGTTCTTTACCACTGAGCCACCTAGGAAGTCCCAGTTGTTCTCTAGTCCTGTAATATTGCCATTGCATGTTAGTTTCCATGGCCCTTAAAGGGCATAGAATTTGGCATACAATGAGCCTTTGATAATTGTTACCAACCAACTGGTAGATCCTTATTTCTTTGCCCATAGATGAGGAGCTACATGAGAAAACGATTCCTAGAGCTCAGGGAGACCATGGCATGAATCTTTTAATTGATTCAAAAGTTCACAAAGCAACCTAAACCTGTTATCTTTTATGAGTATCCTAGGATGAAAAAAATGCTTGGAACCATAGTGACAAGAACCGTTAGCAGGTAAGGATAGCCACATGGAGGGGCTTTTGATACAAAAATTGACTGAAGCCTCAAGAGGCATGGGTCAGTCCCAGGGACAATTGTTCTTCAAGATAAAATTTAAGAAAATAATTGGCTTCATGGTGGCGGGGGGGAGTGATGGCATCTTGGGCATTAGTGTTGATTTTACAGAAAGTACAGTAGTAGAAATATGAAAAGCACACATGATCAGATAGAATAAGGTCACCTGGATTAGACTAATTGACATCCAGAAGCCTTTATTCCACTCTTACTAGCATCATCTATATGAATTTGCTGGTGTCTAGGATCTGGCCCTGAACTACAGCCTCAGGAGCCTTATTTGTCAGCACTCCACAAGATCTGAAGTCAGACAACGATATTTTAAAATCAGGAGGCCAGTGTTACCATTTATGGTAGGATTTGGAACACTAGGGTCCTATCATCAATTACATAAGATGCCTAAGGACAGAAGAGTCAGATTTAAAGGAACTGGATTTATGATCTAGTTTGATGGCTTGATAATGAATCCATCTCCACAAAGGCCCTGTCGTTGACACCTTTTAGTCACTTATTCATTCGTTTAGTCATTTCATTAACGAATTACTGTTGAGGTTCTAGTATGTTCCAGGCCCTGTTCTGGGCACAGTCGACTCTACAATATGAGCAAGGGAACACTCTCGCCTGGGCAGTGCTGGCTGGGAGCTGCCAACTTGAGCTTCACTGATTCCTCCTCCTTTCATTGCATGGTTGAAAAACTCCTTTTGTGATTGACCTGTTTTTAATTTGCTAATGCCTTCAATTAGATTACTGGGAAGAGTGTCTGGTCCCTGAAATGTCCTGGTTTTTTGAAGTTTGTTTGCATATGTGTAATCTGAGACACTGGGTGTTGATATTTATAGATGAACACTGAGAGTATTAGTCAACCTTTTCCTTTCTGAATTTCCAAGAGTGTTTAGGGGATGCAGGATAGATATGGGATTCCAGAATGGCTGGAATGTGCCCACTAAAGTTTAATCCAATGAAGAAAATGTATTTAGTAAAAACCTCATTTTACTTTTCTAGCCAATATATTTGATAAAACTGACCATTGTTAAATAGCAACAGCATGTCTAGTCCAGAATGATGATGGGATTGGGTAAACAGGAGGATAAACAGAATAAGGTAATGATTTTAGAAATAATTGACGATTTTAGTATAAATTCAGTTTGCCTCTTCAACATGGGGACTATGACTTTTCTGTATAGAAAAAGGGAAGATAAGACCAAAGCTAGGGCTTTTGAGCTCTCAGAAAGAATAGAAGGTCAGGTTTCTAGCTTGACTAGGAACCCTCCTAATACTCACACATACCAGTAGCAGTAATGAGTGTCCTCGAAGAGTGATCTCATTTTAAGCCTGAACTGTTTGCTTATATGAGGTTTAGATAGAGAGTTTTCAAAACAATAATCCCGTCACCATAGTTGACACAGTTCTGTCTGATATGCCCCCTGCTTGCTGCAGTTCTCTCTTTGTAAAAGCATAGTGAAGGGGAAGAACAGCTGTTGTTTGTGAATTTCCAAAAGTACATTTTACTTTGATGGTTTTTGGAAGCTAAAGTCAAAATAAGCCATTTGAAACATCTCAAGTCTTATACTTACCTGACTTACACTGCCAGTACAGTGAGTGTACTGGCCAGCACAGTGGGTACCTAGTGGCTTCTCGGTGGGAGAACATAGTGAGCCAGTTCACTCCATGCCCCTGGGAGCCCAGCATAGAGGCCACCAGGCCTCATTTTCTGAAAGACGCAGAGGGGAAGCATTGCCAGGACTGAGCCAGGACTGCCAGGACTCCTATTCAAGCTAAATAAGCAAGCCAAGAATCACCTACTGATTTGTTCTTATTGGTAGTGGTATTTACGCTTGGGATATTTGTCCAGGAGCTGTTTTTTGCAATTTGTAATGAGGAGGGATCTTTTGTACTTTTGTCAAGAACAAACTAGATACCCCTCCCCTTCATAAAGCAAAGCTCTTCTAACACGAATGGAATGGAATTGCTCTAGTGTAGTAAAATGTACCTGGATTTGGGGTTACAGAAACTGCCCCACTTTAGGTGTGTGATCTTGGGACAGTCACTTAACCCCTTATCTCCCAGAGTTGTTGTGAGGCGTGATATAAATGATATATATCTGGAGTCTGATATAACAAGGCAAATTTTGACTCTGCTGCTTACAAGCTGTGTGAACTTGGGCAAGTCGCTTAGCATCTCAGGCTTAGTTCCGTCAACTCTAAAAACTTGGACTTGGGGTATCAGGAAAAACTTTCCAAAGAATATACCATTTAAGTTGCTGAGTAGGAACTAAGGAGGTGAAGAATGGGAGCTAGGGGGAAGGGGGTTGTATGGTGGTTATACAAAAGAAAGATTGAAGACCAATGTGCAAAAGAGAACATGGCCCTTTCATAGAAAAAAAAAAGGTCTCTGTGAGCAAAGAATGGAGTGTGGACAGAAAGATGGGTAGTAGCTTAAATTCAAG